GCTCACCAATTTCGTGCCTTGAAGTAACCCTCGTCCTATTGATAGAAGAAACCAGACAAGTAGTGAATAGGTCTTTATTTCGATCTTAGCGCGGTGACAGTGGAGCATGGGATTATCTGTTCAGACAAACAAAGGCTCTCAACATTCAATATAAGATAATAGGGAATATAACGCTTATACAAAATAAGGAAGTGAATGAATACTTGAACAATACTGTTTTGACATATGCTTGGTTGTTTGGGGTCAACTCTTAACCAACCAACCTAAGCTGTTACAAGTATACTTGAGTTGTTCATTTGAAGTAGGTGATTCTTTCGTGCCCTTAGGTAACCCTCGTTCTATTGATAGAAGAAATCAGACCAGTATTGAATAGGTCTTTATTTAGATCGCATGGCAGTCACCGTGGAGCCGTGGATTGCCTGATCATACACAAAAAGCTTTTCAACATTCAATATGAGATAATAGGAAATATAATGTCTTTACAAAGTATGGAAATGAATGAATACTTGAGCTTTATTGTTTTGAAATATACTTAGTTGTTTGAGGTTGACTCTCAACCGGTCAACCTAAGCTCTTACACTACCTTCCTCCCAGAATCGTGTTCTGTAGGAACGTCGGCTCAATCACGGACATATACGTTCTGTTTCTACAGCCCAAAGGATGATTATCAACTCGTTCATTGTTTGGCTTTCAATCAATGACGACCGACTCCGTCGTTATTCAACGATAGTCCATGGACGTCTCTTCATCTGCTGGCTTGCAGTCTTATAGCATTCAATTTCTTCTGCGACTACCGCTGATGGTTGACTACATGTCCTCTATATGGTTACTAGAGCTTGTAAGAGAAACGAGGGTGAGGAAATGAAATCAGAATATCTAAAAAAGTGAATTGAAACATGAGCTTTATTGTTTTGGCATATACTTAGTCGTTATGGGTCGACTCTTAACTAAATAACTTAACCTAATAAATTCTACTCAAAGAAAAACAGGCGAGTGGTAGTGTCAAGAATTTATTCTAAACAGTTCACTGGCAAACTGATAATTCTGGTTCATTTCTGTCGTGCTGGATGCTGTTATCCTGTGCCTCTTCCGAATCCATATAATTCTCAAAAGTCACCTGACATCCGCTTGACCAGAGTGTAACAAGTGTGGGAGCGAGCACTTGCAATGTGGGGGGGGTAGTTTATTTGACCGCTACAAAGACTGTCGATCTCTTTTAGCTAGTTTAACTACTCTTTTAGTTGACACAACCTTGAGATCCCAAGATTGTCTTGTGAGCTACTGCTAAGGATCATAAAGTAAGTTCTTAAGATCCAGGATTCTAGAGTTCAACAAACACATGTATTCCTTCGTTGAAATAGTTTTTGTTCAAAACATTTTCCATTGAAGTGAGCTCTGAGTGAAGTTTATTCTTTATAGACGATGGAAGTCATGTCATTACCATCAACTGGTCAATTTAACGGAAATCTGAACACATGCAGAGGCATATGAAGTTATAAATAACATGGGCTCTTGCACTTTTATTCATAGATGGAACATATGACTCTGTACTTTAGATCCTATCGGCAGAAACTTAAAACTGTGCCAAAACCACGAGAGGAGAGCACAAAAAACCAATAAGTTTACTCAAGTCTGTAATGAAGATTTCAGATATTCAATCCACATGCACCCGGATAGGCCATACGAAGTCAGGACCAAGAACAAAGGCAAGCTGGAGCTGACCATTCCACTTGTGGACTGTCTAAACGATAAAAAAAACGTGTAAAGGACAGGGCCTACCACCTCGGCAAACCTCATATAGGTGGGCTACCTGTCCATTCACATAAGGTTCATACAGAAAAACAGGACGAAGCTCATGCGTTCCAAATTGAAAGCATAAACTGCTTATATACGAACGCCGCGAGTTTACCAAACAAACTGGATGAACTACGTGAACTTAGCGACGCTAACAAGGCCCATCTGATAGGAATATCTGAAACCTGGATATCTTCTCAGTTCTCGGATCAAGAGTTAGCATTGCCTGGGATGACTTTGTTCCGCAACGACAGAAAAATAGGAATTGGGGGCGGAGTAGCCATATACATAAGCTCTTGCTTGGAGGTGCACCAGGTTCACAACCTCGAGTTTAACAATCTTGAGGAATCCATATGGTGCTCTGTAAGGTTGTCTAGTACTTCCAGGTGTCTAGTCGGAGTCATTTACAGGAAGCCAACTGCCGACACCGAGTACGATAGTCGTATGCTGGAAGGACTATCCCGCTCTATCCGTCTCGGTTTCACACACATCCTGATTCTAGGGGACTTTAATCTCCCTAGAGTCAACTTCGCGGAACACACGTACACTGGAGGCGACAACTCAATTGAAGCTCGGTTCTTCAACCTCATCGATAACTTGGGCTTATATGAAAATGTGAGGTCGGCAACTCGTTGGAGAAACAGTCAGACACCATCGCGCTTAGACTGTGTATTCACTAACGAAGAATTCCTAGTCGACAACCTCTCAATCCTGGCTCCTCTGGGAAAAAGCGATCATGCCGTCATAGCCTTCAGTTTTGTCATCAAAACTAAGCTAAGGTATCCCAACAATAATTTGCGATGGAATTTTAAACGGCTGAATGTGCGAGCTCTACATGACCATCTACAACAGGTGGCTTGGGATGTTCACCCTCAAATCGATGTGGATGGTCATTGGGACTTCTTGCTGCACACGCTCTTACGTGCTACAAACCATTCAGTTCCTCAAACGGTTCCCAAAAGCTTCAAGCCACCTACAGTAATCAAGAACCGTACCCTTCGCCTCCTAAGCCGCAAACGGCACTGTTGGGCGGAATACAAACGAACTAATAACGATGGAGCGTATAGGCAATACAAACATATCAGGAACACATGCACGAAGGCTATAAGAGAAGACAGGCTTCAGTACCAAACAAAGCTTATGGACAAATTCGCCTCTAACCCTAGAAGCCTATTCCGTTATGCAGCCTCTCTTCGTCAAGCCAAAACAGGAGTTTCTCAACTGCTAGGTCTTAACGGCCCGACCAACAACGATGGCGACGCCGCTAACCTTCTGGCGGCCCATTACTCTCAAACATTTCAACCGGCTGACATCAACTTTATTGACGACAGTTTCATCTGCAATTCCACAGGACTTTCTGAAGTGGACCTAAGCGCTGACTTGGTGTTCCGGAAATTGCAGCACTTAAGACTTGACACTTCTCCTGGCCCGGATATGGTTCATCCTGCCATACTGAGGGAGGCAGCCTCAATCCTGGCAACGCCGCTTAGCGTGATGTTTTCACACTCGCTTAGCCGAGGCAAATTACCGGAAAATTGGAAGTTGGCTCACATCACACCAATTTTCAAAGGTGGTCGACGCAATGAACCTTCAAGTTACCGGCCGGTAGCTCTTCTGTCATTACCTTCAAAACTCATGGAGTCCCTGATATGCGACGGTTTAAATGACTACCTACTGTCCTTAAATTTCTTCTCACCCCAACAGCATGGTTTCAGGAAGGGTTACTCTTGTATAACCAACCTGCTGACTGCGGTGGACAGATGGACAAGCATCCTCGATCGCAAGGGAAAGGTTGATGTCATTTACCTTGATTTCTCAAAAGCTTTTGATAAGGTTAACCACTTGTGTCTTATCAACAAGCTCAAACGACTAGGTATCAAACCACCTCTAATCGACTGGCTTACTTCATACCTAAAAAATCGACACTTTAAGGTTAGGGTTAATTTCACTTTATCTCAAGCTATGGAATGTCCTAGTGGGGTCCCCCAGGGCTCAGTACTAGGGCCTCTTCTCTTCTTGATCTACATAAATGATCTTCCTCAACAGGTAACGTCAGACTTATTACTTTTTGCCGACGACGTGAAACTTTGGAGAGAGATACGCAACCAAGACGATATACAGGCTCTTCAAGAGGATCTGACTCGACTTCATAGTTGGGCAGACGATAACGGACTTACCTTTAACACTTCTAAGTGTAAAGTAGTCCATCTGCGACATGTCGCAAACTACAGTTACAACTTAGGAAACTCCTCTCTAGTAGTATCCCAAGTCGAAAAAGATTTAGGAGTCCTGGTGCCCCATGACTTAAAGTCTTACGCTAACTGTGACAAAAATGCCTTCCGAGCAAACCTTGCACTGGTAACGTTGAGGCGCATTTTTGGTCAGTTTGACGGAAGAACTTTCCACACAATCTTCAATAGTTTCATCCGTCCCCATTTAGAGTACGGAAACATAGTACTCCCCCCTCACTCCAAAAGGATAAGGTCACTTTGGAGCGTATCCAACGGCGAGCCACGAAATCAGTTCGAGGACTCAAATCTAAGCCTTACGAAGAACGCCTCCGTTCACTAGACCTTTACCCACTAGAATATAGGCGTCTTAGAGGTGATTTATTAATGGCTTATAGTATTCTTAACACTTCTGGACATCCTCTTAAACACCTACTTAAGCTTAGTTCGAACAATAACCTAAGGGGTAACACCCAGAAACTGGAAACACAACATAGCAAGACGGAATGTAGACACAACTTCTACTCCTTAAGAGTTGTCAAAAGCTGGAATTCGCTGCCGGCCGAGCTAGTCCAAGCGACTTCTCAGGAGTCCTTCAAGAGGCAACTTGACCTATTCTTAAGGACCAAGGACAGCATCGCACTATGATTTACCAATTTCTTTTCCTCTTTTATTGTTAACATACCTAGGTTCCTGCCTGGAGGATTTGGTGATCCCCTGCTACTAGACACGGAAGCCTGTTAAGCGAAAGCTTCTTCTATTCCGTCCACAACCATTTGAACCATTTGAACCGACCCGGGCTTTCTGGTGACTGCGCTACGTTATGTAGAACAAATGGACTGTATGTTAGAAATCTAGTTAATTCTTTACTCTCCATCAAGTCTAGCTGACAGAATTCATCGGTAATACGACATCAGTCTTGCTCCATATGCGTATATGGGACTAAACGGTGACCATTCTACCCATCAATACAAATAAATGCTAAAGTTAGACGATCATATGACTCATGAGTTAAAAGACACATTTCAAGATGTATCTGCATCTAGTATTGAAAATCGAAACTCGGCCAGTCATTCTCGCCAAAATCTTGCTGGTGGATCCGGAGTTTTTGCAAATTTCTTCGAAGAAATGGCCGAGCCACTTTCTTACCAATCCTCAAATCTCATTGATGAAAGGCAGAGTACTATATCCACAGAGGACTGTAAAATCCAAACACAGAGTAACGAGGTGAAGGAGCGCAGTTCTCCTATGCTGCGTGATGAGATTAGTCCTATGGAAGCTTTCTACGGTGATAATGCAGATGATGACCTGAAAATTCTTGAACGATATCGTTTGCTCGTTAATTCTTATTCTGATTCTAAACCATGCCAAGATGATGAATCTCAGGTAACTCGTTGGGAGTTTCGCTTTTCCCACGGTGGTAGTTTTAAGTTTTATATACTGGTAACGCTAACAGCATGTATATCGGTGAGACTAATTTATGGACGACCTTTGAGCAGTGTTAATGTACCTTAAGAGTATTCACATACTTACTAGAGGCAAGAACGTTCGTAATTTAGTATGAGGCATCGGGACTATGATTCGTCCATAAATTATAGTCTCGCCCTGCCTGACAAATTTTAGAAGAAATTTAAGAGACGAGAAAATTTCACAGTGTTACAGTCAGTAGTATGACTTTACCCTTGTATCTGGAATGGACTTATTTATGTTTTGAAGTATTTCAACCAACCTTTTTAGTATGACAGTATCTAAAGGAACAATTGTATAAGGTAGTGTTACTCAATCAGATCATCCTGGTGCACAAACTTCACTACTGCATCTTGACTAAATCTATAGTCGAGTGGTTGGTGATCTTTAGTGATATAATATAGGTTGTACATTATTTAAGTAACCGTATACAGTCTTCACCTAATGGTGTTCATCCACCAATTTCGACTGTTGTATTTAGAGATATGCTACTTAATTTGCTTTCTAATGTATTTGAAATGATTATTCAAGTTCATTTGGTTTTTATCCTTCCCATTCACCTTTATTGTGTTGATTTGTTACATCGCAAATCGGATTGGCACAAACTTATTTAAGGTCAAACAGACTTCTAGAAATATTCTAAAAATAAGTATAATGCGTAAGATGTAGTGATGCAACATAGTTGCTTAGATTTAAGTAAGGAGCAAGGTCCGAGCCAGCAAATCGACACTAAAACCCGTATACTCCGACTATTCAGCTACCGTTCTACTAGGTTATTAATATTTTATATGACCGGTGGTTTTTATCTAGCAATTAAAGTAACCAATGAATAATCACTGGATTATAATTTCTGAAACGCTTTAAGTACCTCAACTTAATTGGTTGGTTATGATTGTCTTTTATATAACAAATATGTAAATCTGTAATCTGGTGCATAGTTAAATTCCCTTGAAATTGTCTTCTTCACATTGATAATAGGAATAGTAATATTTACTTTGCTTTTTTCGTTCTCAAACCATTAAAGCTGAGGCAGTTATCTCATGATAATACACTAAAACGTGGTGGACTACCACATGGCGTAACAGAATACAATCCAACTGATTTAAGTAGCCCGTTGTGTATGTCATACATACATAGAAGTAAACCACCTAAAGTATTAGCCAATCGTTTTCTGCTTGGTTCTACAATTGGGCGAGGAAGTTATGGAAAGGTAATTCCTTTATTATCGTTATTTAAATTAGTTTGGTAGCAGTTGTTCTTTTTAATTGCAAGTTACTTTCATAAAGTCTGCTTTAATTTTGGCCTAGATTATTTTCTAGAAATAGATCTAAAAGAAGTGCTTGATGGTAATGTCGATTTGTTACTTAAAGAAGGGATTCCAGATCTTTCATGTGTTCACCACATTGTTTAATTTTGTAATCACTGACTTATAGATCAAGGTATATGTACTTAGTTGATAAATATTGTTTATACGTGTTGCATGTACTGTGGAGTAACCAAGCGTGAACTACTTCTAATAGACCAATGGGGATCTGCGTGTATGTTCACTCTTTGTGATGATCTGTTGGGATTAGTTAAGAGGTTTATGCAACGAAATAAACCAACGTATAATAAACTGAATATCAGTGGATACTGATATGGGTCATCTTTCAAACCATAAATTTAACCATAAAAGATAGAGTACACAACTCACTGGCGCTGTCAGCTCTACAATTTGTTTTCAAAATTCAACTTCTCAACAATGGGGAATATTCGTTGTTTGTATTTGATCATTGTTATCTATAGGGAACAAGTTTCATCCATTGTCAAGACTACATAAGTTATGTTACGTGCTAAGAATATGTGTTTAAGTACAACAAAAATTATTTCCAAGTGAATAATACTATGTTCAAATAAAGTCTTCGGTGGCTTACATTATATACTTTCATACGGTACACTTTACAGACACTGAATTGTATGAAAAAGAAAAATGGCCAGTTAATGGTCAAATACTTGGTTAAATTTGTTAATTCATCAGACCTTCAATGGGAGTCCTAGAAATTGTGCAATTCATTCTCTCTGAACGTTATTGAACATAGTAATAAATATATTTTTGTCATATCCCTATGAGTAGAAAATTTTTATTTCTACTCATCGGGATAATAACAAAAAGCATATTTAGAGAGGGGTTTTGTGGATATTATAGTGATTTAATAGTTGGATTCATGAGTCAATTGAAGCTGAATCACCATGGAAAACTTGGGAGCACTGGACGACCGTTTCGTCCTAGTATGGGACTCCTCAGCAGTGCGCATCTACGATCCCGCCTCGCGGGATTCGAACCCAGGACCTATTGATCTCATGCGCGAACGCTTAACCTCCAGACCACTGAGCTGGCATCCGATGGTGGTAATATCTAACTTCAACCAATCCACGAAATTGCACCACCGTCTACCATTGTCTTTAGTGAGTTACTATCTCACAACAGACCCGGTTTAATTCCATTGGTCACGGTTTCTCACTAGAACTCCAGTGATTACCTCTTGGAGACCGTCGCTAGTGAGCATATGATGATTATAATCAGAGAGAATTTGCGTGAATATTCTAGTAATCTAATAGTTGAGATCATGAGTTAATTGAAGCTAGAACACCATGGAAAACCTGGAAGCACTGAACGATCGTTTCGTCGTGAATGCGCACTACTGAGGAGTCCTATACTAGAACGAGACGGCCACCCAGTGCTTCCAAGTTTTCCATGGTGGTCTAGCTTGAAATGTTAAATTAAAATATTAAAAATATATTTATTACTTACTCTACCCATTGCTCAATTTATATGAAACTATCAAGTCCAACCTTGGTATTGGTACCTATAAAGTCGTTAGTTATTGAACATGGTTTACAACAGAGGTTAATGATAGTCCCATCTAACTTTTCTTTAGTGTTTTTTAAAACAAAATGTCAGCTAAATAAACTATACTTTGTTTTCTTGTTTAATCCTGTTCTTTCCAGTGCTACAGGCGTGTATGCAATACATAGCCTTCAGATAGATAATGTATCGATTGATATAACTCAACCCATTTTGTTTTGTTTTATGTGTACTAACATCCAAATATGAAGACCAACGAATTACGTTGAATCATGACCAAAACAAACTAACTTGTTCACCAAGTACTTGGATATAAGACACATTGTAAGTGTGGGGGCTAATGATACTGCCCGATTGCCCAAACTAAAGTAAGTGGGGCAGGCTTTTAACCTTGGGCACTTAGTGATTGAACATCGAACCATTAAACCACCGCTTCACAGTTAGTCAATACAAAACTCAGAGGTTTCAACTATCCTCTTTAGGCATCGCTTTTAAAAATAACTTTACAAACAACTTAAAAGAATAATTGAAATATTTTCTTTTGAAAATACCCAACAGTACGATACTGAATCCAGTTTTTAAAGGTCTTAATAATTCAACTTTAGAATATCGACTGAATTATCTTATTTCATTCATTTATTACTCTGTAATACAATAACCTATTCTTATTCTTCCTTTCAAAAATAATTTGAGGTACCATTCAGCGAAAATTAGAATTTTATTATTATTATTATTAATCTTCGTCAATCACTATATCATGAAAGCAGAAGGAATAAGGGAAAACTCAAAAGTGATCGAAAGAAAGCAATAGAACTACTTTTAAATAATTGTGTCTCATGTCTTGCAATTTGACTAGTCAAACAACATATCAATAAATGTATGTAAATCCAATAAGCTTGTACAATGATAGATTATACTAATCATATCTTCTGTTTAACGATTAATCTGATTAAATAATAAAAACTAAGAGAGAGCACATAAATAATGTGAAATCAACAAATTTTATTATTTATCATGATATTATGTTATTGACTCATAGTAGAAATGTTTGAATCCTTTTTTTCCGACTTATATTTGTTTGGAACAGTTATATGGGTGTTCTCATTAACCCCTATACATAAGTAGTGTGACAGGATTCATTTTGTCAAGTATAGGTTTATATACTCGGTATTGAATCAAACGGTTCTTACTTGGGCTAATGACAGTACTGTGCAACTATTCAAAACAAAGTAAGCGGGAAGAGGTGAAGTATGAATCCGCAGCCTAATGGTTGAAGGTCAAATGCATTATAACTATAAAACTACCGTATCACCTGTAGAGAATGTGTAAATTTATTTATTTGTTTAAGCACATAAACATTGATATAAAGAGTCACCAAATATACATGCGCAGCACGCCGTCACTCGAATTGTGTGAGGGCTAGAGTACTGCACGGGCGCCCAAATCGAAGCAATTAGCTTCCTTAGAAGGCCACTCCTCGAGCCTTTGACCTACATATCTAATCCACAAGTCAGTGGATCAACGTTAGGAAATACAGCCATATGATAGCCGGTGACCAACCATTGGGTTCATACACCATTTGTTCTGTCAGGATCCTGGAGCCCATGTGCACCATTCGTTTGGAATTAGGGTTTACCAACTCGTCTAGATAGATCCTCCATATCCACCAACCCGGTTAAAGTGTCGGATATTCGCTTTTCGTTCTCTCAATTTCGTAAAGAACACCCGCACCACGAGAAGGCTATGAGTAGGACTTTTCTGACAGTGGCTATGTGACTATGTGAGGGAACTTCGAGAGAAAGAGCTGACTTTCCCCACCTCCGACCGTACCAGGGAACTTGGGGGTAAAATGTGTAATATTCAGGTCGACATTTTGAATAATTATAGTAACATGTTGAGTAGGTAGCATTCAAACATTTTAAACCGGGACGAAGAGTAATAACTAATATTACTAGTATCAGATTAGATTAAAAAGCAGATCAATTTTGCCGTTGTTTTACACAAAAAGAAACAATTACACGCACACTTCTAAATTGCCAAGACAATGAGTGTGCTTTCAACTACCAGTCCCAAAAATCGTACCACTACACATAATAAGTTGACACAGTCTGAATATCGGAAATATATACTAGGCATTTTATTGGTTGTAAATCTATTGTATTTGTAATTGTCGAGGTCAATTGCGTTTATAACACCACCTCACCAGGCAACATGATTAATATGCATATCCGTTAAGTCAATCTGCTATCTTTGTATGCTAATTATCATGTATTAAGTTAAATAGATATGCCTTCAATTGTTTATACGATTATACGAAAAAAGACCTAGTGAAATTATTACCATTCTTTTTACGACTGTTTTTCGGTTGACTGTTTATACTGTCTTACTGTGATCACTTTCTAATTGATGTAATGATGAAATTAATCCTTAGTAAATCGATATATAATCTACATGAATTGTTTTGTAAATACCTTATAGTTTGGAAATAGTGTTTTTGTCCTTATTTAAGACACCTTGGAAGTGAATATCAACACAATTCCACACACGCATAAAATTCACAAGAGACGTCTATGTTAACCATAATAAGTGAAATAATATTGAATCACTGAGCTGGAAACCAATAATCTATATTTTAAACCGAGTCCTATACCTTGTAAAAAGTGTGTATAGACTGTAGGTTTTTGATCTCACGTAACTCACTAAGTACAAATTAATTTACCTGACGCTTTGAGCTACGGTTTATGTGAAAGTGATACTACCTGACTGTCCAAACCCAAACAGGTCCAACAAGACTTGAACCTGCGACCTAGTAGTTAGAAGTCCGATAGTCTAACCACCCAGTCACCACTAGTGTCTTAGAACCGTTGGTCGTATAAGTGAGAACAACAAAGTGATAAGATATGTAATGAGGCTGTGAATCTTCATCTACTAAGGTGGTTGGGACATTTATTACGTATTCCTAACAGCTGCCTTCTCTAAGTGTTGTCTGACGTAGGAATCGGTCGGCAGAAAGCTAAGAGCGAGCGAACCAAAGTGTCATTGATTATTAGTCTGAGCCATGTTATTGGGTGAAGACTACTTGGTTGGTCTCCGCGCGATAACTGCAACCAGTAGTTGGATACGTTGGGTAAAATAGCTTGAAGTCAATCATAATGGCGCAGTTCAATTCACTTATTGTCTTCTAAATCTTAAGTTCCGGTATTCCCTCACACAAACCTTTTCTTTCTACCATATTCTCGATATCCAACCGTTTACTCTTTCTCACTACGACTAATACTACAAATACTTCAGCGTCCTTGTCAATCATCTTATCACCACTAACAAAACCGTTTTAAACATTTATTCGCTCTTATTTTAGAGTCAAT